GAGAAGGCCCTCCTCCGAGTGGTCGCCAGACGGCATTAGCCAGTGGATGGAATTCGGAGGAGGCCTAATCTATGTGATCTAATTGGTCTATTGGAGGTAATTGGCAGCAGGCAGTCTCTCAAGTACCCAGGTCCAATACCAGTAGATTACCTCCCCCCACCTTTGTTATGTTGATCGTTTAGGATTCCCAGAATAAATAGTTCTGGTTTGAATTCTATTTCCCGTATCAGCCACCTTTGAATTTTCCAATATTCTTTTGTTTTTTGGCACGGCCACCACATATGGTAGTATGTGCCTGACCATCCAAGAAACATCTTCAGAACACTTTTGGGGCAACCATGACCTGGGATGATTGAGAATCTGCATAGATATTCTTTACGTAGGATGCCAAGACTGCTTCGATCCTCATGTGGTAGAGTAAAAGGAGCATAGTTCTTGCCTGCTGGTGCTACAATAGCTTTGTAGAGTCAGGAGCTGCAAAGAGTGACTCTGAAATCCAACTGCATTTGCTGTCTGAATGATCCTTGCATGCAAATGCGAATAGCCTCAGGTCCAGCCCTAATTATGTTTTCACTCCATCCCAAAAGGTTGGAGAGGATACCAATGCTTAGAATCAAGAAAGGTGCATGGAGATTTTCCTTTTTCTCTGCCATGCTGGTGAGGAAAAGACGAACTCAAAACATCTGTTTGTGTCTGGCAATCCCATCTCTTACTTCAGGAGTGTCAAACTCAAGGCCGGGGGCTGGATCCGCCTGCAGGGTGCTTAGATCTGGCCCCGGGGGGGGGGGGGGGGCAAACAGCGAAGGACCAGCCCGCGGTGCCTCTGCTAGCAAAAATGGAGCTCAGGAGAGCCATATGCTCCGTTTTTGCTGGCAGAGTTGCAGGAGGCTGTCCTAGCAGAAAATGGAACTCAGGAACCCACTTTCACTTGCACCACTTGGGCCACCACAGGCACTCCCAACACGAGTGACGTCAAGCTGGCGATGCCCACTATGGCCACAATCCCCCCCTGGGTCAAACACAATCCTGATGCGGCCCTCAGTGAAATCGTGTTTTCTTCCCCCAACTTACTTGTTTGCACCCATTAGAGGCCTTTTCCTGACAAGCATGGAAGTAATAATGGCATAGCATGAATTTTCCTTTGGAGAAAAGGATTGAATTCCTCTCCATACCAACTCTGATCTTAAGAAGCAGCACTCTCGCAGAACTGTAGATATTACTGAACTACAACTCCCAGCCGCCCACATCAATGGCCATGTAAGCTGTGGGCTTTACTTAGATTAAGTCTTGTCTCAGTCTGCATTTTTGCACAAACATGAGAAATGAAATGCTGTCTGCCTTGTAGAGTGTAGAGGTATACCAATAGACCCTTAATTGTGTGATTTATGGAGTGCTATCTTTCAGCTGTGGCAATATTAACAAGTAGCTTATATGTCTTATTAGTATGGAACCTGTGTGGAGTTTCCCTTCTTTGTTTGTCTTTTTCTAAAATCCTTTAATCTTTTGAACAGGCTTTTGGATTTATGACCAGAGTAGCTCTACAAGCAGAAAAACTGGATCATCATCCTGAATGGTTTAATGTTTACAACAAAGTAAGAGATGAGAGCTGTTCAAGCACTTTTTGGTGGGGTGGCTTTGAGTGATTCTGGCAGTTTTCTTGGGTGATATTGTTTGGAAGTAGAGTGATGCGGTGGCCTAGAGGTGGAGCTCTCGCCTCACAGTGGGTTGCGAGTTCGATCCTAGGTAGAGGCAGATATTTCTCTCTTGGCACACTGAGAATATATCTGCTGTACAAAACTCCACATTGGCAACAGGAAGGGCATCCGGCCATTAAAATACTCTGCTAGCTCCATTCAGTTGCCCGGACTCCACCCACAAGGGTTTATGGGGACGTTAAATGGAGATGATGAGGATTGTTTGGACGTTTCCCATTGTCTTCTTCCTAGGTCTGAAAGAGAATGACCAGCTCCAGGTCACTAAACCTGGTTCTAGTGCCCCCAACTTCTAGTCAAGATGTTTTATCACAACCTGAAACTGGCTTCCTGTTCAAACTTAAAGTTATTTTAATTATATAAGCCAATTGTAGCATAAGGCCATTAAACAGTGTCTTGCACCTTTCTAGGTGCCCAAACCTGTACAAGAGATTATATTTGTGCAAAGAAGTGGGATGTGCGTGGAGTGGGTATTTAAACCTTAT